TTTGCTCAAATTTCCCTCAAGCGGTTTGTCAAACCTTCAAACACCCCCATACACAGCACAAATGGCTTGAAACAAAGGGAAATTTCGCTTGGTTTGTCAAACCGCTTGTGTGGTGTATTTCGCTCTTAACACTTCGGTAGAAAAAAAATATTTTTTAATGGTTAATTTCGAATTGTGCTTAATTTTTTCACACCGTTCATCTCTTAAGTAAAAGTAAATTAAATACATATGAATGTATTATGCATGCATTTATAAGTTTTCACGTTAGAGAATTTGCTTTCGAGTAGTATGTTCGAAATCAAATTATTGAAAACGAAGCCAACATACTAAATTTTTTACCATGGGAAGCATTTTCCTTGTGACATCGGTGTAAAACCCGAAAAGCATTGGTCCACCAGTGTGGTAAGTTCTAAATTTTGGTTGTCCAGTTTACATACACGCTTGCTAGGCTTTTAAATTTTATTTAATACTTTTTGTTTGCGGTTGGCGCAGGACAAAATCTGCAGCATTTAGAAAAACCTTTTAGTCCAGCAGTTTACTTGACTTTGTTTACTCCACATGAGCACAACGAACTTTTCTACAAGGACCTCTTTCTTAAGCTATAATTAAGTTTTTAAGATTCCTGCAGCGGATGTAGCCACCGCCACTTATATGGTAGCAGCTTATTAAACACTGCAGCTTCGACGAGATTGGACTACAGCATTCGCTATCGCTAATTTTGATGGCTAAAAATTTCCAAAAGGCAGGCGCGCCCATCAGCATGCAACATCTATTTACTTGCCCCTCATACTGCCAGCTTTGGTTGGTTACCCATTGTATCTGTTGCTTTTCCATATTGCGTACTTTTTGGTCCCACTGATTTTTATTTAGAGAATTTTGACGGTGGAAATTTAGCGCAGCGATTGTCAGAATTCCACTGCAGGTTTTTTGACAGGTGGATATGAGTGGGCATGTGAAGGCGCAGTGGTAGATAAGAAAGTTGTTGGTATGTCGAGGATGATTCTGGATATGTACGAGTTCAATCTGCTGCAATATCCAGAACGGAGTGTGGCAAAGTAACGCGGGTCGCTTGCGGTGATAGTTGGTGTCGACAGTAGCATTCAGGGGATAAAAGTTGCTGAAGGTAAATGTTGACACTCAATGAATGGCTGTTAAAGCCAGTCTATAGTCCGTGGGTGGATCTGGTATTTATAATCGATGAAATGGCTTCCGACGTACCTGGAAGAATATTTGGTTCCCCCACAGTGGCATCACAAAGGAACCGATCTTATGCCCCTTAGCTGAGAAAATTTGGTCCTCGCTTCATGACATTCTGGCAGGCTTGAAGCTTCATTCCCTGCGCAGCAATATTTAAAACCGGTCGCTCAATCGTCTTGTCATCGATCCATTATTATTATTACGTCTGGTATAGTCGCACTGAGACCTAAAAAAGATGTATCGTGCTTAAACCTAATTGAAGTCAGTCCAACCTTAGGCTATTTAAGAAATTAGGCACATTAGACACGGACCCATATGCTTACGTTTAGTTAGACCTCTCCGGTTGGCATCGATGAATGGCGACTATTTAAAAAAAAAATCCCCAGACCACTTGTAGTGTCATTGGAAGGGAACTCTTCAATATATTTTATTTAGTTGCACAGTGTGAATGAATTGTTGGCAGGTTTGGTGCTACTAAGACCATTCTCTCACTTTAGCGATTTCGGTTAAGGCCACGAATCAAACGTCGAACGACCCGACTCCCCGTATATCTATTTGTCTTTGAACCAGAGACCCAAAATAATAATTATTTCACTGTCGAGTATTAAAAAAGTCATCCAAAATTTCGCAACAATTATAAAAGTCTTAATAATAATTATGAGTGAGAACATTTTTTTAAAGTCATCGATTACTATTATTTTAAGACTTATGTATATATATAGGGGATTCACAAGACGTGTTAACCGTCGTAAAATCTTAAGGTTAACATCTTTTTTAATTAAAATTGTTTTAGGGGATTTCTAACTAAACCGAAATTCTTTTAAACTGATAAAGAATATATAATTAGCCAACCCCCCAACCATTTTAACCGCTATTTCACATAAACAAGTGTTAAGCTTAAGATTTTACGACGGTTAACACGTCTTGTGAATCCCCTAATTATAAAACCTTTTTCATAATAATTATTAGCGAGATAATTATTTTTAAGTCTTCAAAGGCCTTTATTTTGAAACGTATATTAAAAAATTCTTGTCATAATAATTATCAATGAGATAAAAATTTTTAAGTCTTCAAAGACTTATGGCCTTATTCATAAAAAATAAAGTAGGTTTAAAGAGCTTTATAAAATGACGTTTTCATACATTTTTCAGTTTATAAACCTTTTTTAAAGCTACTTTATTTTTTATGAATAAGGCCATTTTATTATAAAAGTATTCATAATAATTATGAGCGTGAAAAACTTTTTTAAGTGTTAGGGACGGGGCTTGTTCAGAACCATTTCGGGTTAGTTCGGGATTACTTCGGGACTAGTTGGGGCCCAGTTCTCAAACAGTTTGGAACTTTGGGGCCAGTTGAGGACTAGTTTTGGACTATATTATATATATAGTCCTGAAAATAAAAGTCTTTGAAGACTTAAAAATATTTATGTCAATGATAATTATTATGAAAAAACTTTTATAATATAAGTCTTAAAATAAAAGTCTTTGAAGACTTAAACATATATATCTCTCTGAAAATCATTATGAAAGGACTTTTATTATATAAGTTCTTGAATAATAATTATAGATGACTCGAAAAATTTGTATCTTAATAGGTTCGTTCGCGTAGCTGTTAATTGTTCATGTTTAACCAAAACTTACAGGTTTTTGCGTTCGCGTACGCAAAAAACTTGCAAAGTAGGGGAAATTGAGAGAGCAAAGTGACATTTCGTTTTGAGGGGAAGCTGTTAGTTTCTGTTGGAAAAATTTTTGCCAACAGCAATTTGCCAACAGGGAAACAGCTGATCA